ATTTTTTTTTCAGGTCACCCTGCCTCGGTGGGTGACAGCTGACTTTTTAAAAAAGGATATATGATTTCCTCTTTCTTCTCACTTTAATCATAGAACAGGTGGGGCTGGGACCCATAGTAGGCAAGTCCTAAAACACTTCTGTTATAGGTGAGTGAGTTTGAGCCCCATTTGTTCTGTGATTTGTTTGCAGTCATGTTATTACAATTTCCTGAGCCAATTTGGCAACCGTACACTGGTCCCTGGCACACTGAAAAACAAATTGCTGGTCTGCCACATCAGAAAGTTTGAGAAGCATTTGTTTCAAGAATAGTAACAGTGATTTTGTTGAATTTAGAGCAGCTGGGGCTGCTGATAAACAGCTCTAACCTGACTATCAGTTTGGCTGGTCTAGAGGGTATACACAAATGGGTGTGTGATGAACACCTAATAAATTGTAACATACTTGGCACTCTTCACAGCTATCATATCTATTTTTTTACCCCCTTGTGGTTTCCTCGTGTATTTTAGCTCTAAGAATCACTCTGTAGCTTGCCTATTTTTTGTACTTCATCTGGTTTGTCTATGTTTTGTAAGGCAAACACTACACTACTGCTACATTTTCCAATATTGGTCTTGACATGCTGTGAAGAGCTTGATCTTCACAGCATGTCAAGCAGATGGTCTGGCACCTCTTTTACTCTGTACTAAATTATGAGGACAACCAAAGATAGTGGCAATGAATGGTATAAAATACCAACACAATGGAAATATAAACACATTTGCAGTTTAATGTGATCCTTTATTGACAACGTTTTGCCCACACAGTGGGCTTTTTCAAGTCACAAACAGATCTACCTGGGGTGGAAGGTACGCGAGTATTTATAGTCAGGTTCAGAATGTTGAGGTCAGGTGGAGAATGCTGTATCTGATCATCTACCGAGTGGGCTTATAGAGTCTAGAATCTTATAGAGTCTATAACCCCACTCGGTAGATCATCAGATACAGCATTCTCCACCTGACCTCAACATTCTGAACCTGACTATAAATACTCGCGTACCTTCCACCCCAGGTAGATCTGTTTGTGACTTGAAAAAGCCCACTGTGTGGGCGAAACATTGTCAATAAAGGATCACATTAAACTGCATATGTGTTTATATTTCCAACCAAAGATAGTGTTATGTATGTACAGTGTACACACTCACTGAAGTTGTTTACTCTGTAGTTGCTGGTGGTGATCATTTGATTTCGCATGTTTCTTAGCATATTTTGCTAAAATTTATATCTAGCCATGGCTAGGGTTCATTTTTTTGTTTCCAGCACACTGGCCATCTCCCACCAAGGCAGGATGACCCAAAAAGAAAAACACCCTCATCATCATTCACACATAATCACTTGTCTTTGCAGAGGCACACAAATATGACAGTTCAGATGGTACTCAAAACAGCAAATATCCGAAACCCCTCCTTTAACCCCTTCAGGGTCCATTGCCAAAATCTGAAGTGGTGCCCAGTGTCCAAGAATTTAAAAAAAAAAAAAATTAGTTATTTTTTCTTATGAAATGCTTGAGAATCTTTTTGTGAAGGTAGTAAAACAAAAAGTACGAAATTTGATGGAAAATTGACGAAATTATGCTCTTGCGAATTTTGATGTGTCAGCAGTATTTATGAATCGGCGATTTTGCCGACTTTGACTCCCATTTTAGGCCAATTACATTATTCCAGTCGACCAAATTCTTAGCTATTTCACTAGTATTAATTCTATTCTATCGATTGAGCACAAGAAATCGCCAAGTCAACTGTTTCAGCTACAAAATAAAGTGATCGGAAGTTGGTAATTTGGCCAATTTAACACAAAGTTCAAAATATTCCAATTTCAAAATAGGGTCCAGAATAAATAATGTAGGTATTCCTGGCACTAAACTAACATTTCCTCTGTTCATTAGTTACGTTTTGAGGCTTTACAAATAGATTCCATTTTCATTTTTTATTCACATAATGAATTTTTATTCACACCAAAAAATAGAAGATTTATTGTTATGCAATATTGTAATAATTGTATAAATATCATCACCACATTTGTGAATGTATATTAGACCCACCAGCTGGCGTGTATTACACATGTGAGGTCGTTTGTTTACTCTTGAACATCAGCAAAAATTTAACATTTCCGCTACTTTGAGCTCAATTTCAAGCCATTTCCAGTGCTAAAACCAATCAAAATCATCTCTATTTCTGTAATATGTCTTCCATTCTATCAAATGAGGCCAAGAAATCGCAAATACAACTATAAAAAAACATATGAAAAAACACTGCAGAGTCGCTGTTTTAATCGAAAATCATGGTCTCGTTTTTTTTTCTCATTATACACACAGTGTGCTGCAGGATTTGTTTTATGTGGTGCACACATACCACATAGATGTATTCTCTCATATCTAGGCCCAAATGTACCACTCACAGTTTATCAGAGTGAGCTGAGCTCATGATGTAGATCTATGGTTTGGACCCTGAACGTAAAGCCGTAGATCAACGGGACGGACCCTGAAAGGGTTAAAGTGCAGACACTATCTAACGGGTCACTATCTCTGGGCCGGTACACATGTTCACCATGATTACAGGTGACAGTGAAGGTTGCTTCATCACGCCAAAGTACTTCAGGCTACTGTTGAGAATTCTGATGAAGATATTTCTTTGCATAATCCAGCATGTTTCTTCTGTGGCTTGGAGAGGATTGGTTTCTTAACCAGGCGGTGACTACTGTAGCCCAGTTCTGACACCTCTGAGAGAAGATGTGGGTTCTTTTCTTTCAATTCTCTAGCAGTTATCTTAGGTGTACTCTATAACTGCTTCTTTAACACATTTAAGGTATGAACAGATGTCTTCTTCGTGGGGCCGGGCCGAAGTTTGGCAGACGGTATCTCGACACCGCCACCAGCCTTGAAACGCTGCACCCAGTTCCTCACTGAACACTCACGCACACCAACATTCTCCACTATTTCTTTCGTCTGGTGGTCAGCTTTGTGAAGCCCTATGAGTTGAGCTATAGTTTCAGGTGTTAAAGACTTACCCATAATCAAACATGTATAGCCCCAAAGCCAAAGGGAACACAGGACAAAAAATGGGGTGGATGAGAGAAAAGTGCAGCACTTCCTCTCACCACGGCAGCCACGTGAGCACTGAGGAGTCACTGTGGAGTGTGGCAGCAGGCTATAATGTCATGCTAATGGCTGCTATCCGGCATAATGCACTGACAAAAAAAGACCCGCCTGTATGGTAGGCCTTTGATTTTCATCACGGCATTATGCAGGGGCACTCGCCTGGCATAATGCCGTGACGAGCACTGTAAGCCATTGCTGAGAAACACTCTTGAGCAGGGGAAACCTTTGTTTTAAAATGTTTTTACAAAAGTGGATCTTTATTGAGTACTGTACCATCATGGAAACCCAGTGAAAAACAAAAAAAAAATCTTGCTTGGTTTCTCTTCCTTTTCCTCACTCTTTGCCCTCATTTTTTCCAAACTAACATTCTGTGGAGATATCCTTTGAATAATAGCTGTTACTGTGCTTTTGGGGGATTCTAAAGAAAAGTTGTGAAGGTTAGTGAACAAGTTTGGGAGGATGTGTAAAGGTAGAAAGTTGAAAGTAAACATAGAAAAGAGTAAGGTGATGAGGGTATCAAATAATTTAGATAGAGAAATTGGATATCACATTGGAGGGAGGGAGTATGGAAGAAGTGAATGTTTTACTTGTCAGCGGATGGATTTACGAAGGATGAGGTTAACCATAGAATTGATGAAGGAAAAAAGGTGAGTAGTGCATTGTGGGATCTTGAGACAAAGAACATTATCTATGGAAGCAAAGAAGGGAATGTATTTGAGTATAGTGGTACCAACGCTCTTATATGGCTGTGAAGCATGGATTGTAAATGCTGCAGCGAGGAGGTGGCTGGAGGCAGTGGAGATGTCCTGTCTATGGGCAATGTGTGGTGTAAATATTATGCAGAGAATTCGTTGTGTGGAAATAAGGAAGAAGTGTGGAGTTACTAAAATTGTTAGTCAGAGGGCTGAAGAGGTGCTGTTAAGGTGGTTTGGTCATTTAGGGAGAATGGAACAAAATAGAATGACTTGGAGAGCGTATAAATCTGTTGGGGAAGGAAGGCGGGGTAGGGGTCATCCCCGAAAAGGTTGGAGGGAGGGGGTAAAGGAGGTTTTGTAGGTGAGGGGCTTGGACTTCAGCAAGCGTGCATGAGCGTGTTAGGAGTGAATGGAGAGGAATGGTTTTCTGGACCTGACGAGCTGTTGGAGTATGAGCAGGGTAATATTTAGTGAAAGGATTCAGGGTAACCAGTTAGCCAGGCTTGAGTCCTTGAAATGGGAAGTACGATGCTTGCACTTTAAAGGAGGGGTTGAGGATATTGGCAGTTTGGAGGGACATCTAACCTGTTGTATCTGAGCATCTCTACAAAGACAGTGATTATGTATGATTGATGGTGAAAGTGTTGAATGATGAAAGTTTTTTTTTGGAGGGGAGGGGGTTCTTTCTTTTTTGGGTCACCCTGCGTCAGTGGGAAACACGACATGTTAAAAAAAAAATTCATTTTGTCCTGGTCATACATATTGTTTTGGTAAGCTTTATTGTAATCTAATTTTGCTAATGCAGGAATAAAACACTGTAATATAGAAGGTAAAAACTGTAGTTGTATAATGCATCCCCCACACTCAAACTTTTGGTTAAGTGGTTGAATAAGGTAAAAATAGAAAGGAAGAGATTGGAAGCAGGTAAATTTTGTTTATGGCAAATGTGGGTTGGCTTGCTTAATATATGCATGTATGATGCGATCATTTTAGAGTGTTATTCACTTATCTATGTTAGAAGTTTTATATATGGGTAATGAAAGAAAGAAAGATGGTATTTTAAATACATATTTGTAAGCACTTAGTAACCCAAGTACTTCTAGCATATGATTAGAGTGCCTGTTTTAACTTAGATGTGTTTGCAAATATTCATGTTTTATTCTGACGTGCAGTGGACCAGAAGGTGATCTCATGAACCAGAACATGAGGGCATTTGAAGAAGATGACGACCATCCATTCAAAGTCGAGAAAATATACGCAGAACTCAAACTCTGCATTCCACACCCTCGGCAGGTAGGTTGAAGGTAACATGAAGTATAAATAGGGCTTGGAAAATAGAGAGAGGAAAATATTAGGGAACAGCAAAAGACTGATGAACACTGGAAGAAACGAGAGCATCCTGAGTTCAAGTATTGACTAATGCATATGAGAGGATAATGTGGTTTTGAAAATGAGGAAATTCGAAGTTAAGAGGAATTTCACTTATAGTAACTAATAGCATGTACTTAATTTATTTCCATCTTGGTGTCAGATTATATAAAACTCAGCCCTCATCTTAATCATATTTACTTTCACAGTGTTCCAGATTAGTTCATAAAGATTAGATTATCACAGATGAAAAGGAACCTACAACTGAGAGTGTGAGAGAGAGTGTGAGTGAGTGTGAGTGAGTGAGAGTGTGAGTGAGTGTGAGTGAGTGTGAGTGAGTGTGAGTGAGTGAGTGAGAGTGAGTGTGAGTGAGTGTGAGTGAGTTTAGTGGGGAGTGTGAGTGAGTGAGTGAGTGTGAGTGGTGAGTGTGAGTGAGTGTGAGTGAGTGGTGAGTGATGTGTGAGTGTGAGTGATGAGTGTGAGTGAGTGTGATGAGTGTGAGTGAGTGTGGTGAGTGAGTGTGAGTGAGTGTGAGTGAGTGTGAGGGTGAGTGTGAGTGTGAGTGAGTGTGAGTGAGTGTAGTGAGTGAGTGTGAGTGTGAGTGAGTGAGAGTGAGTGTGAGTGGAGTGTGAGTGTGAGTGAGTGAGGTGAGGTGAGAGAGAGAGTGTGTGAGTGATGAGGTGTGAGTGAGTGTGAGTGAGTGTGTAGAGTGTGTGTGTGAGAGTGTGAGAAGGAGAGTGTGAGAGATTGTGTAGAGGTGAGAAAAGAGTGAGTGTGGTGTGTGAAGAGAGGTGAAAGAGAGAGGTGAAAGAGAGAGTGTGAAAGAGAGAGGTGAAAGAGAGAGTGAAAGAGAGAGCGTGAAAGAGAGAGGTGAAAGATGAGAGGTGAAAGAGAGAGGTGAAAGAGAGAGCGTGAAAGAGAGAGCGTGAAAGAGAGAGCGTGAAAGAGAGAGCGTGAAAGAGAGAGCGTGAAAGAGAGAGCGTGAAAGAGAGAGCGTGAAAGAGAGAGCGTGAAAGAGAGAGCGTGAAAGAGTGAGGTGTGAGAGAGAGAAAGAGAGAGCGTGAGAGAGAGAGAGCGAGAAGAGAGAGATGCGAGAGAGAGAGTGGGGAGAGAGTGCGAAGAGAGAGTGTGGGACGAGAGAGAGAGTGCGAGAGAGAGAGTAGCGAGAGAGAGAGTGCGAGAGAGAGAGTGCGAGAGAGAGTGCGAGAGAGAGAGTGCGAGGAGAGAGAGAGTGCGAGAGAGAGGAGAGAGAAGTGCGAGAGAGAGGAGTGCGAGAGAGAGAGTGCGAGAGAGAGAAGAGTGCGAGAGAGAGAGAGTGCGAGAGAGAGTGCGGAGGAGAGAGAGTGCGAGAGAGAGAGTGCGAGAGAGAGAGTGCGAGAGAGGAGGAGAGAGTGCGAGAGAGAGAGTGCGAGAGAGAGAGTGCGAGAGGAGAGAGAGGTGCGAGAGAGAGAGTGCGAGAGAGAGAGAGTGCGAGAGAGAGAGAGAGTGCAAGAGAGAGAGAGAGTGCAAGAGAGAGAGAGAGTGCAAGAGAGAGAGAGAGTGCAAGAGAGAGAGAGAGTGCAAGAGAGAGAGAGAGTGCAAGAGAGAGCGAGAGTGCAAGAGAGAGCAAGTGCGAGAGAGTGAGTGATGGCAGAGAGGAAACCTATATTATATGGAAGAGAAATGATGTAAGGCATTACAGAAAAGCAATTGAACCTAATTAATCAGAAATATTTGCAACTGACAGCCTTTCATGTTATAAATTTTTCTGTTGCATGAATAGTTTCCGTGAATTGTTCATTTTTCCCTGCAGCCTCATTAATTCAACATTTACAAATGTTGGAAATCTGGGAAAATAAAGTTTTTTTCATGAAGCTTTAAATACATGTGGGTCATTCAGCACACAGTGGTAGAAACTTGATCCTTCCTTCAGTGATCATATTCTGATCTCTGTCCAGTGAGGTTGTTGGTGACTAATACTTCATAGCTGCACCAAGGGTAAGAGAAACATACATTAGATATATTTTGGTCTCTGTATGATCTGAGAAAGATATCCCCATATTGCATAACCCTAATCCTCCTTGCTTCAGTGCACATGATTGCAATAGTGCAGAATGTGGAATAGATTGGTAGTACAGTTATATTAGTATTGAAGATTTGAAGGTAATCACAAAAGGCATTCACTTCACAAGTCATCATATGGAAGCTAATATCAAACTAATTCAAACCTTTCAAAAGAGATCAATATCCTAAAATGTATAAACACATTAAGCTTGAAGCTCCTTGGGAATTGCATCATCAACTTGTAAACATTGAAAGGGTGAAGGTAATCAGGTGTGACACTCAGAAATTATTGCATGAAAAACAGTATTTAAATTTTTTAAAATTTCTTCCAAAAAAGTAAATTGGGCCAAAATCAATCCAAACTTTTCTCTAAGTAAGATTGACCAGCTTTTAAGAAAGTAAGTAAGCTTTTGTAAATTCGGAGTATATAACATAAAATTTGAACTATGGTTTTGAGGGCACACAGATGTTGTCCTTTCTTCCAACTTGCCGGCCATATCCCACCGAGGTGGGGTGGTCCAAAAGGAAAAACGAAAGTCACACAGGTGTTATAAGCATTTAAAAGTACATAATTTGGTTATCCTAGCTTAAATCAACATTAAGTCGAAAACTGATTTATTTCTGATCAGAAGAGAGATTCTCCAGTTATTTCAAAGAAACTGATTTGATTAATAAAATTGGCACATTATAACTTAAACTAACATCAAGAAATTGCTTCCTGTGTGGAACACACATAAGCACTTTAAGCTTAATACTGACCAGAAGATACATTTTCCAGTTATTGAACAGAATCCAAGAATATTTGTACCTTCACGGCCTAAACTTGTGAAATTTTTCATCCATTTCATGCAATACATTATCTATTGGAGATTGATACTGTTCGTATTTATTATACTGTGCTAAACCCATAGGGGTCATACAGTGCCTGTGGAGCTAGAAACATTCAAATTTGATCACAGCTTACTGAAGGATAAGTCTAATTCCTTGGATCAAGAGTCCCTTACCAGCATTAAGGCACAACAATGCAGTGAAAAATAATGCTATACCGTTTTGAGAATAAAAGTGGCAAAATGGCATATTCACATTCCTTTAACAATACCAAACTTCCTCTAAGTAGAATTCATGAGTGATGAAAGGTTTGAAGCATAGGGCACCCATGCAAGCAAATAGTCCCCTGAATCTTTCCCAAGATTCATTACACCAAATTTGAAAATGTAATGCTAACTGAATAAGTGATTCTCAAGTAATAAATGAAAATTTGTGAGGAAGTCAACAAAATAGTGTTGAGAATGTTCTGAAAATAGGAAAAGCTCTCCTTGTTAAACTTTAAAATGCCATAAAAAGGGGAATTTAGATTTTTGCCAGTAATCTTGTCTCGTTTACATTTACAGTGGACCCTCCCTTTTTGTCATTAATCTGTTCCAGAGAGTCTGACAAAATGTGAAATTGATGAAAACTGAAACCATTTTTCCCTATAAGCAATAATGTAAATCCGATTAATCCGTTCCAGATTCCCAAAAGTATTAACAAAAAATAAATTTTTTTTTTAGAGATTAAATATAGATTTACATACAGAAAAACCTCTTCAAGGGGGGCTCCTTAGTGTGATGAAGAGGCTCTTGGTCTGAGGAATTAGACCTGTTGGTCTCCTTCCTCAGACTGAACCTAATTACCTCCCAATTCCCCCTTCTCTATCCCATCCTCCCCTTTTTCCTTTCCTCCTCCTCCTCCCCACCCCCTCCCTTTTGCCCTTCCTCTTTTTGGCCTTTGGGATTTTTCCCACAGGCATGCTAGTTCCTGGGTAGGGGAAAGGGTACCGGGGTCCATCCCATTCCGTTGAGGTTCTTGGCAGTGGTGTAGTTTGCCGTGGAATCTGGATCGCCTGGGGATGCCCCAATCCCTCTCCGGTCTCCCGGGGGGTGGCTTTGGGCGTCTTTCGGGTGACAGGGGCATCTCTGGAGGCTGCCTTTCGGATTCTGGGGGTGGTGGCCAAAGGAGATATGCTTTGTGGCGAATATCCGGCTGCCCTCTCTTTTGTCCACCAAGGTAGCTCGGCAGATGTGAGGTTGCTATCCCGGATTGCTGGTTTACTGTCATAAAGGGTAGGGTATGGCACGGGTTCCATACCGCATCTGCGCTACTTGCGGTGCTGAGATTCTCTTGGGTGCAGAGGGAGATTTCTGGCCCTTTCATTCCTCCTAGAAACTATCCCTTCCCAGTCCCCCCTTTTGTATTCTTTTTTTTTGTTTTTGTTTTCTTTCCCAGGCAATCTACCATCCTTCCTTAAGAACTTTTTAACTGACAGACATTTCCGTGTTTAAGGTAATAATGTGCTCTCCCCGGACTTTGTCCAAGGTGAAGGTGTCCCCCAGGGATGTGTTCTGAGCACAAAACTTTTTTTCCTTGCTATAAATGATTTGGCCTCTAGTCTTCCATCCAATATTTGGTCGTCACTCTATGTTGATGACTTCGCTATTGCTTGTGCAGGCGCTGACTGTCACCTCATTACAGTTTCTCTCCAGCATGTGGTCGACCTTGTTTTTAATTGGGCCACCACGCATGGGTTTAAATTTTCCAGTACCAAAACTCACCAATTTACTTTCACTAGACGTTCTGTCATTTCCGATCATCCTTTGTACCTTTATGGCTCACATATCCCTAAACGTGATACAGTCAGGTTTCTAGGCCTTCACTTTGACCGTAGGTTATCCTGCAAACCTCACATTACCTCTCTGAAGGCAACTTGTCACAGCCGGCTGAACCTTCTTAAAACCCTTGCTCATCTTTCATGGGGAGCTGATCGTTGAACTCTCCTTCGCCTACATTCAGCCCTCATTTTATCGAAACTCGATTATGATGACCAGCTCTATTCGGCAGCCTCT